GGTTACTCAACTTACGTCTCTGTGTATATTGGTTTCAAGTTCTATGGTGGATGAGGCTGCACCAGGACTGAAGTCAATCTTTAATTCTGAACCTTTTAGTTATGTGTATGTTATCTTCATAAGCTAGAGATGTTTAAGGTCAATTCTCTTAAATTTAGTACACTACAAAAGACAACTTGTGTAATATACATATATATATAATGGGAACGAACATGATTAGATCTCTTCCTTTCATATGTGTACCACTACAAGGAGGTCTGAGCTAGCTGCAAGAATTAGTGAATCACGTTTAAAATTTTTGGTTTTACTTGAGGTTGGTTTAAGATGGTCTAAGATGGTTCTTCTTGGTTTTGAAAATGACAACTTGACAAAGTAGAGAATGACATGGATTTCTCTTGCAATGTCTTTGTTTTCTGCATCAGCCTCCACTTGAACTAAAGTGAATCACGTTTTATTGTGTAAGCACCGGCTCAGCTTTTATTTGTTCCAAAAATCCATCGAATTGTCTACGATTTTTCAACGTCTACCAGCGGTATATTTTGCGGTAATGTCAACAATACCTTTTTTGGAAACATGTAGCTCAACTCCACGTCGTAAAGTTGCTTCTCGATCTCGTACTCGTCAACCACCATCCGACCAAAATCTTCAAAATTAGTTCCTTTATTTGTTCTAATAGATTTCTGCCCTCTTTAGTTATCAACACCAAATAACCATCTATTATTTTGAAGCATCCATTTACCACAAATCAAATTAATGAGCACCATATATTTTTTGAAAGAGAATCAAGAATAAGAAGAAGATGAATACTAGTTGTTAAATAAAGAAGATTAAGACTAAAAAGGGAGAAGCGACAGAGAAGACACACGACATCTCCTATATCAAAACCTAATTTTTCGTTTTTTTCGATTGAAAATTCGGTTTATTCCGGTTTGGTTCGGTTAATATGGTATGGTTCGGTTTGTTTAGCCAAATCGGTAGAGTTAGGTTAATCTATATAAGTTAGTCTATGGTTAAAGGAAAATAAATTTGTGGTCAAAATAATATAAATCTATCATGTAAATATGTGGCAAAAAGAAATAAATCTATCAAATAATAATAAATCTGTCAAAATAAGATAAATTTGTTGCCAAAGAAAAATAAATTTGTGACAAAATAATTAAGTATGTCAAAAGAAAATAAATTTGTGGGCCAGAGAAAATAAATCTGTGACAAACTAATTAAATCTTTCAAAATTAAGTAAATATGTGGCCAAAGTGGAAAAAATATATCGGATACTAATAAATTTGTCAAAAAAAAATAAATTTGTGGGAAAAAAAATAAATTTGTGATAAACTAATTAAGTCTGTCAAATTTAAAACAATTTGTGGCAAAAAAAAATTAAATCTATTGAAAGCTAATTAAATCTGTTAAACTTAAGTAAATCTATGGTCAAAAAGAAAAAAAATTGTTAAGTAAATCTGTGAAATATTTATAAATCTGTCAATATTAAGTAAATTTATGGCAAAAAAAAATAAGTCTGTCTAAAAATAAAATTTTGGTCACTTTAAATTAAATCTGTCACATGGCAAAACCGTAATTTTTAATTATTTTTTTTCTTTTCGAAAATGCCATTTTTGTAAATAAAGTTTTTCCTAACAAAGGATTTGAAGGTATAATAGGCATGAAAAAATTTTTAGTAATAAAAATAAAATAATAGTTAGTCTAGTAATTAACCAATAAATAAGTGCCAAATTAGTTTTTTTTCTTTTTTTAATAACTTTTATTGTAATAGTAAAGAAAATCCAAATCTTTAAGTATTACAATCATAG